CGGCCAGCCGTGCTGAGAACTGTGGGGACGTGGGCAGTGAGGCTTGGCGATGGTGCCCCGTTATCCCCCTGTATCCACCCAGGTGGGTACCCTGCCAACCCCCGCGCCACCGACCTTGGCACTGAGCTTTTGCAGGCTGGCCTTGGTGTGAAATATCCGCCGGTCGCTCCTGCGGAGGCTGGGGAGGGTGGGAGGGGGTGTGAGACCACCCCGCAGCCACGGCAGCCCCCGGCCCCGTGCCCCCCACTCACCGCGCCTCCACATCGGCCGCCTTGTCCTTGGCCACCTCGCTGCTGCGCTGGAGGTGGCTGAACTGCTTCTTCGCCTTGTCCAGCTCCTTCACCGTCTCCAGCAGCTCCACCTGCGCCTTCTGCAGCCGCTCGATGCCCTGCGGGGAGCGTCAGCTGCGGGGGACAGCTGTCCCCACTGCCCGGGCACAGGGGACATGTCCTTGCCCCGGTACCTTCTTGAGCGTCCTCTCCTTGGAGAGGCGGGCGCTGCGGGCGGCCTCGGCGGCCAGGGCACGGTAGCTCTCGGCGGCGGTGACACGGACCTGCCCGGCGTGTGCTGTCCCCTCGATGACGCCTTTCCAGACAGCGGCCACGCTCCTGTGGGCACAGGGTTAACACAGGCCTGGGCACTCCCTGCCCTGTGACAGCTTTTGGGGATGCCCAGCAGGACTGACCCTGGAACTGGGGACATCCCGCCCACAGCTGTCCTGGTGATACCCAAATCCTGGTTGGCATCATGCATCTCCAAGTTAGGAGGGCCATGGGCAGCCCAGCTGCTTGTCCCCAGCCCTGTCCCCGTCCCCAGCCCACCTGGAGTCACCAGGCTCGCCACGGCCCCGCTGCCAGTCTCTCTTCACGAACTGGCTGGCCAGCCTCTGCAGCGCCTGCAGACAGACCCGGCATCACCATCACCACAGCACCCACCGCCCCCCCTCAGGGCCCAAAACTGGGCTGCCCCACCCCAGCTGCCCACCCCACGGACCTGGGGACACACACGTGGCCCCCCAGAGCACAGACACATCCCCGTGGCTCGGTGTCAGCAGGAATCCCATCGTGCTCCCCATGACAAAACCTTTCGTGGGGCAGCCACCACAACAAAAGGACCACCCCCCGCTGTGACTTTTGGGACAGAGCACCTGCAAGGGGACATCAATGAGGGACACTGGCTACAGAGACAGAGGAGCACCAGCAAAGCCAAGCACAGCAAGACCCCAACCCTGGGGAAAAGGACGGTCACCCCCAGCCTGGGGGGTGTGAGGGAGATGAATGACACAATGACCAGCTGCAGGAAGGGGGGACACAATTCTGCTGCAATATGTGCCCAAGGGACGCTGCAGGGACATCTCACATCAAAACCAAACTGACATTTCAGAGCAGCGCCCTGCGATGACCCAGCAGACAGCGGAGCCCAGTGGTTTCCTCCCCCCACAAGGTTTTCCCTCCAGGCTCCCAAACACCCAAGGTTTGGCCATGCTGTGCTCAGCAGAGCCCCCAGCGGGTGCTGAACGTGGCCAGGGTCCTCCCGGCAGGATGAGCCATCTGCCACCACCCTCCGGGGCCAGCACGGAGCAGCCACGCTCCGCTAATTTCCGAGGCTGCCCTCCGCCTGCGTGGGGCCGTGCCCAGTTCCTGCCCCAGGCAGGCAGGGTGAGGCCTGGGCCCCCCCAGGATGATCCCGAATCCCCTGGAAGCTCCTTACCTGCCCGTACTCCCTGTCAATGGTGGCCCTCTGCTTGCTGTAGGACCTGGGGCGAGAGGGGACACAGAGAGGACACACAGAGAGGGGCAGGGATGGGCCATCCCTCCCATCGCCTGCTGCCACCATCCATCCCTCTGCCATCACTCCCTGCCACCATCTGTCCCCATCAGGCCACCCCAGTGGGTGACGGAGCCCATGACCTCGAGGTGACAGGCTCAAGGTGAGCCGTGCCCGGTCCCTGGCCCACCCGTGCCCGGTCTCAGCCTGGGGACAGGCACACAGAGTGGGACGAGCTGCTTCATCCCAGCCTGGGGACACGCACACACGGGACGAGCTGCTTCATCCCAGCCTGGGGACAGGCACACAGAGTGGGACGAGCTGCTTCATCCCAGCCTGGGGACACGCACACACGGGATGAGCTACCCGCTCCCAGCTTGATACGAGCATCACCTGTGCGGGCCCTACCTGATGTCCTCCAGCAGCTCGGCGTCCCGCTGCTGTTTGCTCTGCAGGCCCGACAGCTGCTCCAGGAGATGGACCCGCAGCTCCTGGGTGAGCTTCACCTGCGGCAATGTCCCGCTCAGCCCCGGCCCCGGCGGGGATGCGCTGCCCGCCCTGCCCCGGTCCCGCTGCCCGCCGGTCCCACTCCTGAGCGCCGCCCAGACGCGGCCTCGCCTCCCCAGCCCCGGGAGGCCGCGCCGGGGGCGAGTCCCGGTCACGGCTGCAGGACACGGCAGCGAGGGAGGACGCGGCCCCGGTGACCCGCCCCGTGGTTCGGAGCGGCCCGGCCTGGCCCAGCCCGGCGCTCACCTTGCGCGGCGGCGGCTGCATCGCTGCGCTGGCCCGGTGCCGGTGCCGGTGCCGAGCCCGATGCCGGTGCCAGTCCCCGATCGCCGCCGGCCCGGTCCGCGTGTGCCGAGCCCGGAACTGCCGGGCGGCCGAGCCCCGCCCACAGACCACGCCCACAACAGACTCCGCCCACTGACCACGCCCAGCACAGACCACGCCCCTCATAGACCACGCCCCTCACAGGCACAACCCGACTCCACCCCCACAGACCACGCCCATATCAGACCACGCCCCCACAGACCCCGCCCCAACAGGCCCCGCCCACCCCCACGGACACGCCCATGCCCCGCCCTAAAGCGGGCACGCCCTAGGCCCCGCCCCCTTGCTGACGCAACCAGGGAGCCCCGCCCATCGCGCCCAGCAAGCCCCGCCCCTCAGGGCTGCAGCGCCGCCTGGCGGTCGGTGGTGCGCGTGTGGGCGGGGCGATGCGACACCGGGACAGGGGACACAGGGATATGAGAGACAGGGACATGGGGACACGGGGATACGAGAGAGAGGGACATGGGGACATGGGGACACAGGGACACAGGGATGTGAGAGAGAGGGACATGGGGACACGGGGATATGAGAGACAGGGACATGGGGACACGGGGATGTGAGAGAGAGGGACATGGGGACACGGGGGTATGGGAGAGAGACATGGGGACACGGGGATATGAGAGACAGGGACATGGGGACATGGGGATGTGGGAAGACAGGGACATGGGGACACGGGGATATGAGAGAGAGGGACATGGGGACACGGGGATGTGAGAGAGAGGAACGTGGGGACACGGGGATATGAGAGACAGGGACATGGGGACACAGGGGTATGAGAGAGAGGGACATGGGGATGTGAGAGAGAGGGACACGGGGATATGAGAGACAGGGACATGGGGACATGGGGATATGAGAGAGAGGGACAGGGGGACACGGGGATATGAGAGACAGGGACATGGGGACACGGGGGTATGGGAGAGAGGGACAGGGGGACACGGGGATATGAGAGACAGGGACAGGGGGACACGGGGATATGAGAGACAGGGACATGGGGACACGGGGGTATGGGAGAGAGGGACATGGGGACATGGGGATGTGGGAAGACAGGGACATGTGACAGGGATATGTGACATAGGGACATGGGGATGTATAGGTGGGGAGACAGGGATGTGGGAACACAGGAATATGAGAGGCAGGGACATGCAGACATGACGACATGGGAGACAGGGACATGGGGATCTGAGAAGACAGGAACATGGGGACACAGGGATATGTGACATAGGGACATGGGGATCTGAGAAGACAGGAACATGGGGACACAGGGTTATGTGACATAGGGACATGAGGACATGAGAAGACAGGAACATGGGGACACAGGGATATGTGACATAGGGACATGAGGACATGAGAAGACAGGAACATGGGGACACAGGGATATGTGACATAGGGACATGAGGACATGAGAAGACAGGAACATGGGGACACAGGGATATGTGACACAGGGACATGAGGACATGAGAAGACAGGAACATAGGGACTCAGGGATATGTGACACAGGGACATGGGGACATGTGGATGCAAGGAGACAGGAAGACAGGTACATACATGGGAACACAAGGATATGAGAGATGGGGATGTGTGGGCACAGGATCACAGGGACATGGGGTGATGGGCAGCACTGTGCTTGGGCAGGGGGACATGGGGACATGGGGAGTGCTGGGGCACACAGCACTGGGATCACTGGGGACCAAGTCCATGTGCATGAGGACACACAGGACACTGGTCCCAGGATGTGGTGACACGTGGGGTGCTGGGGGACTGGTCCTGGGATGTGGGGACATGTGGGACACTGAGGGGACAGCCCCCAGCACAGGGACGTGTGGGGTCCCACTTCACATGGAGGACACAGAGCCCCTGCCTTGGCAGGACCCTGCCATGGGGACATGGACACAGAGCTGAGCAGTGGCATTCGGTGGGGGCCACCTGGAATCATGAGGGGCCCCCAGCCAGGCCCCGTCTGCCCCCTCCCCTCCCCTTCGTGTCTCACTTCTCCTTCTGTCTGGATTTCTCTCTGTGCTTCCTGCACATCTCGTGCCTCCCCCCACTGTCCCTTTCTTTCTGTTCCCATGACATTTCTGGGGTTGGCTGCACATGTCCGGGTCCCCCTGGGGTGTGACGGTGCACAAGGCTGGGCTGGGGATGTGTCTCTGGCTCTGTTATTTCCCTTCTTAGCTGGAAAAAGAGACCAGAGGTCACCCAGCCACCCACTTTGGTGACAAGAAGGGAACAATGCAGGGTGGCCCCATACACCAGCTCATCAGCCTGACTCCACTGATGGATCCTGGGGATGTCTGGTGTGGCAGGGTGGGGCAGACAGGATGCCCAGTGCCCCGGAGTGCTGCAGTGGGGCAGGGCCACATGTCACCAGGCTGGGGACCCACCACCACCTTCCTGTCCCACACAGGGGGCACAGACAGCTCCATCGTCCCGCCGTGTCTCCTGCCTGCCTCCAGATGCCTCTTGCCCACTTCCTCCTCCCCACGGCGTGCGGCTGTGTGACGGCAGCTGGAAATTTCCCCCCGCGATGGTGTGACCCGGGTGCTCGCTGTGGTGACTGTCGGTGACCCCACGCCTCTGTCTGGCTGCCACGCCGCAGGGATGTGGGCAGGACACCAGCGTGACGTACAAAGGGGGGTGTCAGCGGGGAAAGGGACGGGTGACAGCCCCGCCGTGCCAGCAGCCCCGTGCCATTTGTGCAGACCCAGCTGGCACAGCGGCCGCTCCGCAGAGATGTCCCGGCGGGGGCTGTCACCTGCTTCTGCTGCTGCCTGTGTCACCCTCCTGCTCAGCTGGGCCTGGCTGGGCTCTGCCACCCAGCCCTCCCCAGGTAAGTGCCCTGGTGGGTCTGGGGGTGATGGGGTAGGGCAGGGACACCTCACTGGGACACCCCAACTTCACGTCCCATGACGTCCAGAGGAGGCAACGAGGCTGGTGAGGGGCTGGGAACACAAACCCTGCGAGGAATGTTTGAGGGAATTGGGTTTGTTTAACCTGGAGAAGAGGAGACTCAGAGGTGACCTCATGGCTCTCCACAACTCCCTGAAGGGAGGTTGTAGACAGGTGGGGTCGGTCCCTTCCACCAGGCAGCACTGACAGAACCAGAGGACACAGCCTCAGCTACGTCAGGGAAGGTTTAGGTTGGATATTAGGAAAAAATTTTTCACTGAAAGAATAATAAAATACTGGAATTGTCTTCCTAGGGAGGTGGTGGAATCACCATCTCTGGATATGTTTAAAAAAAGACTGGATTTGGCACTTGGTGCTATAGTCTAATTGTGGTGTTAGGGCATAGGTTGGACTTGATGATCTTAGAGGTCTCTTCCAACCTCATTATTCTGTGATTCTGTGATTCTGTGACACTTGGAGGCCATGGCTAGGTGACATGGGGAGAGTTCGGGGCTCTGCTCTGCTGCCTTCCCTCAGTGTCCACATTGAGAATCTGAGTGGAGACCTGAAACTCAGCCAGCATTTTGCCTTTTGGCAGCAAAATTCAGACTACTGCTCTGGTAACCTGGATTTTCCATCCCCAGGATGCAGAGAGGGGGTGGAGGTTGTGGGAGATGTGTTGGATGTAACCAAAGCCCCCTGGGGTAGGGTGTTCTGGGGACCATCAGGAAAGGAATTCTGCAGCTGGAGTTGATGTGCACAGCTTGTCTGGTTTTTTCTTTGAGCAAGCCAGAAAAGGGATTTGATCCTGGGTTGTTTCTCTGGTGTCCTGGCGCCTTCCTGTTCTTCACTTTAGTTCTTTGCACACAATGAAAAACCCCTGACCACAGGAAGATGAGGAGATGTCTCTGGCTGTGGTGGGGAGCTGAGCTGGGGCCATGGCTGGGACTATTCCAACCCCGTGCTGCCCTCCTGATCCCGCTGTGCCGGGCTGGGTGGGACAAGGGACATCAGCAGCACCAGGGTGGGAGCAGAGCCCTTCCAGGCTCAGAGCAGGGCACTGCTGCGCTGGTGCCTGGCACAGGATGGGGCACAGCTCTGCAGGGGGAGGGCAGCAGGGCGCTGGGGGCTCCTCTGCCGTGGGACAGGGAGATGCCACCTCCTGTGGTCACACTGCAGGGAGGGGTGACAGCTCCTGCCCTTGGCTGAACCTTGTGTCCCCTTGTGTCCCCGCAGCGCCCAACAAGAAAGGGCGAGCCCTGGTCCCCCTCACTCCCCAGGAGAAGAACATGTGCTCCCAGGCCTCTGAGGAAGAATTTCTCAACAGCACCCTCAGCACCCGCCTCCTGCCTGCCCTCTACTCCATGGTGCTGCTGGTGGGGCTGCCAGCCAACGCTCTGGCCTGCTGGGTCCTGGCCACCAACTTCAGGAGATGCTCCAGCACCATCTTCCTGCTCAACCTGGCTGGGGCTGACCTGCTCTTTGTCCTCCTGCTGCCCTTCAAGATCTCCTACCACCTCCTGGGCAATCACTGGCCCTTCGGGGACTACCTGTGCCGCACCATGGTGGCCTTCTTCTACGGGAACATGTACAGCTCCATCCTCTTCCTCACCTGCATCGGCCTGGAGCGCTACATCTCTGTGGCACACCCGTTCCTGTGGAAGGGCTCCAGCTGGACGAGAGGCAAAGTGGGCATCTGTGTGGGCATCTGGCTGCTGGTGGGGCTGGGCATGAGCCCTCTGCTTTTGCGCTCCCACACACACAATATCTCCAGCCTGAACATCACCACGTGCCACGATGTGCTAGAAAAGGAAACCCAAAGGTTCTTTGGTTACTATTTCCTGTCCCTGGTGGGGCTGGGCTTCGGCCTGCCCTTCGTGCTCATGACCATCTCCTACAGCTGCATCCTGGCGCGGCTGCTGGCCAAGGGAGGGAGCCACGGGCAGGTGGTGCGTGTCCTGGTCCTGGTCCTCCTGGTCTTCATCCTCTGCTTCACGCCCAGCAACATGATGCTCTTCATCCACTACATGCTGGAGCCCACGGGGTGCAACAACGGCACCTACATCTCCTACGCCCTGGTCCTGGTGCTCAGCGCCTGCAACAACTGCTTTGATCCCTTCATCTACTTCTACGTCTCCCGGGATTTTCGGGGCTGGGTCCGGGATGCGAGAGGCTGCTGCCTGCTCGAGACCTCATCGGGGAAGTCCACGGAGAAAACAGCCCTGCCCCTGAGGTCCAGTGAGCAGAGCCAGGGCTGCCAAGCTGTGTCCTCCTGCCCTGGGGATGGGGGAGCCTGAAGCGTGCCCACACGAAGGGCTGGCAACAGACTTGGGCAAAAAATCCCACCTGGGTCTGAGGTTCACAAGGATTTTGCCTCGGGTTTGTCCCCCTGATGACACCAGCGCTGCCCAATCCCATGGGACCCTCAGCTGGGTGCCTGGCACCCCGATCTCCCCACCTGCCAGACCCTGGCATCCCTCAGCGCTCCTCCTGCAGTGACCAAACCCTCCAGAGTACAAATAAACCTTTATTTCTCCCTGCTGCTGGCAGGAATAGGTACAAACGCCCTCGCTGAGGAGGGGCTGCCCTCCATTGCCAGGACTACACGCCAGGCACACACGGCCAGCCCTGCTCCTACTGCTCCCCCTTTCCCCCCAAAATATGCCACAGTGGATGCAAGAAGGGAAGGTGGGATGGCTTGGGCGTCCTGGCCCTGCCCCGCAGGCCCAGTGCTGGAGAGGGGACACGCTGTGATCCCCCGTGCTGGCAGGAACCCCATGGCCCCTGCCTGGCACAGCGCCGTGCTGCCAACACATGTGGGCACCACCTTCCTGCTTTTGTTTTCTGCTTTACTCATGTCCCTCGGTGCTGGGCTCGATGAGGAAGTGCCACTCACGAGCCAGAACACGGGTGGCAGCAGTCCCAGCCTTCCCACGAGGGGGTACCATGGCCCAGCATCCTGGTCACCACTTGTCCCTTTGGCTCCCGATCCCAGCCTGGCTCTGGGATGAGGAGGAGGAGCAGGGTGGGGGCTCCACGATGTGGCAGAGTGGGGTACCCATCATCTCTGCCACTGGGGTACCCATCATCGCTGCCACCGGGCACGACTTGACCCCCAGGTCGGTGGCCACCCCTTTGGCACAGCGGGTCACGTCACCGGCTGGCCAGGCCCCGGGGGTTGGCCATCGCTCTTCCTGAGGATGACACTGCTGAGCTCCTGCATCAGTTTGTCACTGATGGGTGAGGGGGGCTGCAAGCTCCTCTTCTTGGGCAGCTCCAGGGAGGTCTCTGCTGTGGGGCTGCTCCCCGGTGTGGCTGCCTGCTCCCAGTCCCTGCCCAGCGCCAGGGAAGGCTCCACATTCCTCTCCAGAGAGGACGTTTTGGTGGGTCTGAGCCCCGGGCTTGGAGCTTTGTTGCTCTCCAGGTTCAAGCCCCTTTCGAGGGACACGGCTTTGGTGACAGAGGGACCTGTCACCCTGTGTGCTGGGCTGGCAGGCAGCGAGGAGCGCAGGGCGGTGGCTGGGGGCTCCTCGGGGAACGGGGATGGCTTCCTGGACCTGTCCACGGGGGGCACGGCCGCCAGCTCTGCCAGCAGCCCCTGCCCCAGGTCCAGCGCCGCCAGCTCGGGGAAGTTCCCCACTTCCTCATAGACGGGGTCAGTGTCTGCCTCCTTCTCCTGCTGCTCCTCCAGGGAGTCCTGGTGGATCTTCATGGGCTGGGGAGGGCAAGGGGCAGGGTGAGGGGCACTGCCCACACAGGCCCCTCTGCCCCCCTCACCCTGCCCTCCCTGCACTGCCCGGGGGTTCCTGTCCCTCACCATGGGGCCGATAACCTGCAGGGGACCTGCCCTCCACCAGCTCCCTTGGCTCAGGCACTGCTGCCCTTTCTCCCCCATGGTCAGGAAGGGGGAGTTTGGTCCCTGCCTGGGCGTGGCCCATGCCACCAGCCCAGTACCCCTTGGCAGAGCGTTCTGGGGTGCGGCGGGCAGGTGGTTGCCATGCAGAGCACAAAGCCAGGAGAAATGAGGTTCAGCCCAGAGGTATTTTTGGAAATAACCTGATGACAAGGCACACCTAAACCTCTTTTCTCACATTTCTTCCACTGATACCCTATGGGCAACACGTGTCCAACGAGAGAGGCTCTGGGAACTGGGCTGGACTGGCGTGCTCCTGCTTGTCCACACTGGGACCATGCAGGGACCCACATCCCCAGGTGGGGAACATGCAGAGCAGTGGGCACCCCCTCGTCTGCCCCACAAGGTGGGCACACCTCTGAGCGCCCATGGGATGCTGCAGGTGAGCCCTGGCACAGTGCACAGGCAGCAGTGGGTGCGCAGGTACTTACAAAGAACATGGACAAAGTCCTTCGCGTGTGCAGGCGGCGCTAGAAACAGAGGAGACGGACAGGGGTGAGCACAGAGAGCGTGGAGCAGGGCCACGGCTGCTGGGCAGGCAGGGCAGGGCAGAGGGTGCAGGCACGGAGAGCTGCCACGGACACGGGCACGGACACGAGCGTGGCACACAGCACACACAGCACCCCTCGGTGCGCCCGCCGCTGCAGCCCTGCGGTGGGCACGGGGTCTCGGGGCGGGTACAGGGACCAGGAGGGTGCAGGAGCACCTGTGGGCAGCGGGAGCTGCAGGGGCTTTACCAGGGTCTGGTTGGCAGAGAGCATAGTGGCATCAGTGCTGTCCCCGTGCAGGGGCACCAGTGGCATCGTCCCGAATTTCTGCTTGGCCAGGTCGGAGGAGGAGCGCCGGCGCAGGACCACGGGGCGCAGGTCGTCGTGCTGCGCACAGGGACAGGGTGGGCACAGGGGTCACGCCCTGCCAGCCCCGTCCCAGCCCTGCCCAGCTGGGTGGCACCACCAGCCTGCACCCACCTGAGCCTTGAGGATGCTGGTGGTCCAGTCCCACAGCTCGGCCTGCCCTGAGCACACCAGGTACCTGCAGGGCAGATCGTGGAGAAGCTGCCAGGGAGTGGGGGCAGTGGGGCCCATGTCCCCTTGCCACCTTGTCACCTTCTCTGTGAGCCTGAGGCTCAACAGGCTCATCTCTATCCCACAGGGTTAAATCTCTGAAAATCTCTGCGTGCCCAAATTGCTGCTTTGGGGCGAGGTGAGAGCTTTTTGGGCACCCAGCACACCCAGGGTGCTGGTGTGGGTGGGGAGGCAGGAAGGCTGTGTGGCAGGGCCGTGGGTGGCCCCTGGAGCCTGGCTCCATCCTGTGCCAGGGGCAGTGGTCCCACCACTCTGCCTCTCAAGTGCCCCAGCTCTGCCCTGACCCCAGGGCCTGGTACCACTGCCCCTGGCTGTCCCACTCCCACTAAAACTGGGGACAGATCTCGACCTCCCCCAGCCCCAGCATGGCAGGGGACGGTACTCACAGCTGCTGCTTGTCCAGGGTCAGTGTGAAACCCCACCTGGGAAGGAACACAAGGCTGTAGGGCAGCACTGCCAAGCTCAGACACAGCCTGAGGTCTGTGGGCAGTGGGGCAGGGGGATGAGCTGGCCCCACAGGCACAGGCTCTGTCCAGGTGAACTCCAGCAGCTGGGTTTGGGTGCCAAGAGCAGGGACGGAGCTATGGATATCTGCCCCAGTGCCATGGCTGGGGAGGTCCCACTTACTGAGCTGGTGGCTTCAGCTTCTTCCTAATGCCCATGTAAACCTTGGCTGCGTCCAGGGGCCACTCACGCTCTGGCTTGGCACTCTGGGAAAGGACATCCAGTGGGTGCCAGCCCGGCTTGGTGCCAGCCTCCCTGCCAGGAGAACAGCCACCAGTGTGCCGCTGCTGTCCCCAGGCTCCTCCTCCCACCCCCGGGGCTGAGGTCCATGCCACAGCATCCCCCGTACCCTCTTCTCCTTGAGCAGCAGCAGCCTCCTGTCCTGCAGGACGAAGTAACGCTCCTGAAACTTGTTCCCCAGCAGCTTGGGGGGCTCCTCACGGCATTTCAGCAGCCCACACTTGGGGGTCTCACGCTTGGCACCTGCCCAGTGTGGGGACATAAGGGTCAGGGGCCTGGCAGGGTGGGATTGCAGGGGATCCCCCCGTGGGTCTCGGTGATGTGCCCCTGATGGCTGCAGGCAGTGAGCAGGGCAAGGGGAAGCTCAGGCAGAGCTGTCCCTCTCCGGGGACACCTGAGGGGCTGGGTCCGAGGGGATGTGCTCGCCTTACCTGTGAAGAGACAGCTGCCCTCGCCGATGGGCACCTTCCTCACCAGCAGGTACGCGGCGCTGGGCTCCGGGAGCTTGCACCACTGCAAGGCCTGCTCCAGCACCTTCTCCTTGGGGTGCAGGGGCCGCTCTGGGGACACAGGGACACTCTCACCACTGTGTCCCCTCCCCTGCGCCAGTTCCTGTCCCCTCTGCCACCACCAGAAAGCATGTCCTGTACACCTGCCCCTCGCCAGCCTGGCCACGCCAGGAGCATCCCCCGGGGCGATCCCCCCGTGCTCACCCAGCTCCCCGTTCTCCAGCGCCTCGAAGGTCAGCCAGATGTCCAGGCTGGCGGCCACGTTGCGCATCTCCAGCACCTGGTTGGTCAGTTCCTCTGCTGTCATCGAGGGGGACACCTGGGGCGGGACACACGGGGAGCTGCGGTGGGCGGTGCAGGATGGGTCCCGGGGTGCCAGGAGCCACGTCCCTGCTCACCTGCTCCGGCCCAGCCCTGCTTTGGGACTCACCTTCAGCGTGACGCAGCAGTCGGGCACCTTCTGCTCCAGGTAAACCTCGATGATGAGGTCTCCTGCCTGGGAGAGCTGTGGGGAGGCGTTGGTGTGGGTGCTGAGCACATCCCACCTTCCCAGGGATGGAGATGGTGTCCCGGGAAACTGGGGCTGCCCATCCCCCAGGCGGGAGCAACAGGGTGGTGGGCACAGGGGGGATAAGAGGGGCACATCCTTTCCCAAATGAGGATATGGGACAGTGGGGACCCAGGATGGGCAGCTGGCAGTGTCCCCATCCTGCAGCCAGTCCCCCCAGCCCAGGGGTCCCTGATGTGCTGGGGGCCAACAAGCACATTCCCAGTACCTGGGTGTCCTTCCAGGTGGTGATCAGGCTGTTCTCCAGATCCATCTGGGATACCTGATCCTCGTCAATCTGCCAGAGGAAGGGTGCACAGGGTCAGCACGGAGCGGGATCCAACTTGGGGACACAGGGCCAGGATGGAGGGATGCAGGGGAGGCAGAGGTGGGCACGATGGGGATGCAAGGGGTCTAGATCAGACCCAGCATGGAGGGGGCTGCAGGCCCCTGCTTACATTGAAGATGCTGACGTAGTTGTCGATGAGATCTTCCATCACCTTGACCTCGTGCTCCCCTTTGCCGTCGGTCTGGAAGAGGCTGGGCGCGAAGAGCAGTGACAGGTTCTTGGTGCTCATCTGGTTGAGGTCTGCACATTTCTGCACCCTGGCGTAAGGAGCACAGAGGTGAGGGGCTGGTCCCACTCAGGGTGGGGTTTCAGCCCCAGCCACCCTCCTCTGCCTCATACAAACAGCCTGGATGTCCCCAACCCCTCAGCAGTGGGACTTCAAACTGGGCAGT